CATCACGTCTCTCTAAGCGGCGTCAAGCCAGAGAGGCCGATCAGAACAGCCCGTCCACCGCCACAAGAGGCGTTGAGGAGGATGTAGCACCAAAGCAATCCACGGAGAACCTTGATCTGCTGCCTTGTAGACATTGACGTAGGCTTCTCTAATATCTAGACATGAACCATGGCTAGCAAACGCGAGATAGTAACCTCAATAGATCCGAGGCACAATAAACAGCGAGTGCACAAGTGACCTTGAGAAATACAAGGCTGTTTTTCTGACTAAAACTGCGTCGAAATTTACAGTGGGTGCTCTCACTCGCGAAAATCACGGACCAGCTAACAAAGTCATAACAAACGCTGACCTACTACGTGGAATGGAAATCAACAACTTGATGTTTTGTATTAGTTTCCAGAGAGATTCACATATTTTAAGGCACGCAGGTATTGCGGGTGACACAAAAACGAAAAGATGTAATAAAACAACGACGCCCCTCACCACATAAGCAGAACTCAAAATCAAGCTTGCCCGTACAGCATAAAACAAACAGAGAAACAAAAACCTTGGCTCCACTGATGCGGAAACCAACCAGTATATTGCAAAAAAATAGAGAAAAACGCCAGGCGTGCAGGGAAGGCGCAGCACAGTAACAGCGAAAGCTAGAAAATTGGCCTTTCAGAGCCTTTTTAAACACTCCTTGGGTAACTGCTGCAAGCACTCTTGCTGGGTACCCACTACAGCCATAATATATTACTGGCTAGTTGACTGGCATTTGCTAAGCTATCCTTTGTCATTCTTATGAGAAGCGTGGTATCCGCTAAACTTTTGCAAGGAATTATGTGCTAATTATTCATGCAGTTGCTGACGACCATGAGGATTAATAACTAAAGTGGTTATGCGCCGCAGTCAATAGGTGACCAAAAACAAACTTCTGTAGTAAGTTGGAGCATTGAATGACCCACTCGTTACACTATTTGCACTGTGTGACGCCTGGTTGATATTTTGCTGCTCTAAAACACTTTAATGCTCATAATAACATGATTGCTTTCCCGACATCAAGCCTGGCTAAGGGAAGTGTGCGAACAAGTACCAAACACTGACATGGCCCAGTGGTAGAATACTGGGCTGACATGCAGCGAACCCTGGTTCATGCCACAATGTGTTCTTGGCGCTAGTTTTTTTCTTCTTTCTGAAATGGTGGTTAGAGATACCGGTGGCAACGGCCAACTATGGCACCGCTCATGACCAGAGTTTTGATCACATAACAGCTTTCGTTGTGAAACAGAATGTTTACAAAAAGGCTTTAACATTCAACCTACTTCTCTGTAAAGTCATCGCAAGACCCCATACTCGAGCATTACTTTCTGCTATATGTGCGCAAAGAAATATATCAATGTCTGCATTTTATGATGAGAAAGAAAATGAAACTTTCAAAAATCGACATACTCCTTGCTCTTCGGCAGACGACAAGACATTAGAAACAAACCTATCGCAAGAAACTGGATACAAGAGAAATTCTTAAGTTTTTTGTTACACTGCACGTAACTTCATGCTGCGACCTTTAGGACGAGCTCTGAGAGGACACGTGTACCAAAGCTTTGTAGGCGCCAGATCTTGACGGAGGGACAAAGAGCGGGCCTGTGTCAAGCTAGTGAAGCACTAAGTGGCGGTGACCTTTGTTCGGCGGCCGCCAACCACCAAACATGCCTACCGACCCTTTCGCATCTCCATTGTATGCCACCCGGTCAGGCGGGTACCCTTTTGCGAAGATGGGACACGGCTTTTTCTTGTTAAAGTAGCGTACGCACCACTTCACTTTGCTCCTTCTTCTATCGTGCATTAAACATTATGAAATCACGTGTCTTCTTCGGCGTTTAAACTTTTTGGCCTTCGCGGCAAGCCTAATGCCTAATGTTGCGTCCAGCGGGACTCTTCATTTTCTTATTTCCAGCTTGCCTTTTCGGGATTTCTGTCCTGAACTTAACCCTTTTCGCAGCAGCCTTTTTTTCCTGATCTGTGCCCTAACAAGTCTCCTGGCGTTCTGAGAGCGTAAATAATTCTGCCAGCTTGTGGCAACTGACCTTTCGCGTTCGCCTTGCGTCTTCGCCGGCATTGATTATTTATTTTGTGATGATCTGACCGCTTTCAGACTCAGCACTAGTAGTCGCAGGAGCACTGCTTTCGGCTTAAACTGCCAAAACTTGAGGCGGCTCAATAAGCTTCTCTTCAGAGTCAGTTCGATGCGTCTACGCTTTTGATCTAACAAAGCATTCGACACTTTCTAAGGTAGCCGACTAGCCTTCTGATGTCTTTCCTTAATGAAATTCACACCGTAGCACTATTATAAGCCCCACGCGTTCTCTTCTTCTCGTGCTCAGCCAAGCGCCTGATCATTTATACTTTCACAGTCCACTTGTCTCTTAATACCACTTTGTGCATCCGAAATCTCATGACTGGACTCACAGACAGTCGAACATGCCAGAGCTCTCGCCGAATCATCGCGATAACAAAGGTCTTTTAAAACCATATCCGCGTCATTCTGAGAAGGATAATGCTTGGTATAGGTTTTGGCACACTGCAGTTTCCATTGCAAGCCGCCTGAACAGGTCCTTTCTCTCAACACTGGATTGCGACAAACACACACATTTCTTTTCAACTACTTGCCGTGTGCATGTGTGTTCCCCTGTGGTCGCCTCATTTTTCAAGGAGTAATGATGTACGTTATCCAGTGATGTGGCTCAGTCCGGCGGTACGTCACACAGCGTTTTATTCATATTGGATTCCTGGATGTGGGGTTTTAATTACTCAAAATACTGTCACTTCTATCCACCAAAAAGAGAGCTCTAGGGTTGCGGCAGCTGATTGCCATGTGATTTGGTTCTGGAAACTATAGATTACGACCGGCTTTCTAGCCTTAAACGCCTTTTTTCTTTACATTCCGAGTAGCTCGCTGTGGTCGCGGTCCCTACAAGAGTGTACTTTTTTTCTTTTCTGAAGGTGCTCTTACATTAATCGCGTTACCTGATGCTTGATAAATTGCTGAAGCCAATCATCTTTTCTCATTGATACTGTTTTCCTCAGCCCTTCTTTTCTTCTTTTCAACTCAAACTTTTTTTTTTCAGCTCAAAGCCATCAAACTTTCACTACACTATAAATGGCACCGCTCTGAGCAGAGTACGCAAACGTAAATACCTAGGCTTAACAATTACATTCCGATTTAGGGTTGGACGAGCACAGAAAACATTACTTCATCTGTCATGCAAAAATTATTTTTTCTTTGCAGATCACTTCAAATGGCAACCTTGCCAACAAAGCTTTTAGCCTACAAACATTCGTCAGGCCAATCCTCGAATACGGAAGTACAGTGTAGTTTCCTCACACCCGCACAAACAAAATCGAAGCAGTACAGAAGAAAGTCATAGGATTCATCCATAACAAATATAAACGTTAAAATTCACCCGCTAGTCTGCTAACTCTTCCTAACTTTCTAGGCTAAAAGTACGAACAAAACAGGCACGTCTAAAATTTTTTTATCAACTCTTGCGCAATTATTTTAAAACAGACATTTCAAATTATGTGTCTTATTCACAAACACGAGCCACAAGACGAAAAGATACACACACATTAGTACAATACAAATGCAACACTGATGTCTTTAAATATTCCTTTTTTTTCCGGTTGCTATTCGCGAATGGAACATGTTGGGCCCTTACATACCAACACTGAGTCACTGTCTCAGTTTTAGTTAGAAATTGAAAACAATTCTTAGCTTCTCTAAATACCCAGTGACAGTGGTAATGAAACCAGTATGTACTACTTGTATGTTCTGTAAAGAGCCATATAAGTGTTATAAGTGACCTTATTGTTAAACTTGCCATTTTTGTATGCAATTGTATTTTGTTTGTTATGTTGTGTAAACATTGCTAATGTACAAAGTGCCAGGTTGATGCTGCTATTATGTTCTGTATTATAGTTTTTCTAATATGATGAGCAATCATAGCATCTGTACAGAGTGCCCACGTGCTATGGTCTCCGTAGAGACTGGCAGCATTGCAAATAAATATTAAGTAGATAAATCAACATTTTGGTTTTAGTACGTTATCTCCACATATCAATCAAGCAACACCTGAATGAGAAACTTTATATATACAGCCACCGGCCACCCGAAACGACGCATTTATATGTAGCTTCTTTTCGAGGGCAAATAAAAAATGGAATGAATTACTAAACATAGTCACTATGTCTACCTCTAATGTAGCGTTTTCCGCAGCTTTAGAATCGATTGTTTTTCTCAAATACCAATGCGTCATTATATTTTTTGTTATTTTTTGTTCCTGTAACTCATGATGTCAATGTGTGTTGCCTCTCTCTTTGTTAATTGTTGTTTTTATTACGCAGAATGCAAGTGCACATGCGTGTGTTTATATTGCCTTTTAGTAAATGCCTGTGTTTGCTGTAGGTTTTTAATTTGAAACGTTTTCATGTCCATTTCTTATTATTTTTTGTGTAATTTCAGCACTTAAGCTAATGCTATTCGCTGTATCTTTTTTTCCACTCCTTGTAAAAGCCCCAGCTTGGGGTTCACACTATAAATAAACAAACAAACAATTTGTTCGCAACAACTGGGTGCACTGTAATGTTTCGTGCACCATGTAAAGTTATATTCGCACTAGTCATGTTTAGCTGCAATGGATACATATTCTTGTTACAGCACATTCTACGCCCTCCCACAACACTCGTGTGCATCCTTAACATGGTATATGTCTTACAAGTTTGGTATATGTCTTACAAGTTACAAGTATATGTCTTACAAGTTAACGCGATAAGTACCACAGCGCCATGCTGCAAAGCTTCATATTGTCGCACGCAACAATATTTTGTCTACAAAAGGTTGATTTGGGAACACTCAATTTTCGTCGGAAAAAAGAAACGCATTTTATAAAGAAAACAAAGCTGCGACCGCGTTGTGTTTGGCATGCACATAGCCGTTACTCAAATCTGTTTTTTTATTTCAGCGGTCTCCGGAGGCCAGATAGCAGTGCTGACGCTTCTGTCGATTATTGGTGCCTGCCTTCTTTTCTACCTGGTCATTCTTCTACTCCGCCGTTTCAGGTAAGGCGACAGTGAATGCAGCTCTTTGGTGCCCAGTTTCTGCATTGAGCGGCACCAGCGTAACCCCTAGAGCGAACGAAGATGAAAGTGAGCAACTACGCTGTGCACCAAAAAATGAAACGAGGAGGGATTGCCTGTGAAATCGTAATCTCACCGCCTGGCGGCAAATGGCTGAAGTGCGCAAGTGTAGACATGGCCCCGAGATATTGAACGCACGGTGAGTAAGAAGGTTATACTAAAACTTCTGGAGTGGTGGACCTGCGTCTTTTCCTTCTTCTAACCACAGCCACCGCCATATTGGCCCATGTATCGAAGTGAAGCTGCAGCGGCCATATTGCTCAGGAGAGTAAGAAGTGGCGACTGGCTTGTAGCGCGGTAATTGCTGTGGGCGCTTGCGGTTGTGCGTTTCGTTATAGCTGCTAAAGCACCTGTCTATTACACTTAGGAGGCGAGGGTATGTGGAAGTGATATTAATGCGCATCTGCTTTAATTTTTAATTAAAATGCAGCGAAAATAAAAGTTTAGCTCACACACAATCCTAAACCCTGGTGAATTACAGTGCAGCGTGTGCACGCACTCTATTTATTATTGTTGGTGGTATTCGCCTTTTCGAAGACTCATTTGAGGAGCTTCCAGATATCTGCCGAAAACGATGCTTGGAAAAAATCCAATCATTCATCCGATAGTATGTTCTGCTTCATTATTTATTCAAGAAAATTTTGAGAAAGCTCAATACATTTTGAAAGGTCCTGTTTGTAATGTTATGTTGTCTTACCCTTCTTTTTCAGCCATTATGTGTACCTCCTTCGCGATTCATTGAGTTTTTTTTTTGTTGGCCGTACCACTCCTTTGTGAGTGAAGCTTACGTGTAGAGAGATTTAGAGAGCTCCATCAATGGAAGAGGCCTTTGGTGAAGGTGTTTATATTCCTGGCTTTTCGAAGGAACTCGTTTCCTTTTTCTCCAACATAAAGAGAGGCATATCGCAACACCGGAAATTTCGGATTTGGCAGTGTAGTGCTCCAGTAAATATAAGAAATTTAAATTTTCAGAAATGCAGAGCTGGTCCAGCGTTAACTACCTCTCAAAAATGAAGCGCTCACTTGTATTAGGCAGACTCATGTACTGGCTTTTTTAAAGGCTATTAGAATAATGCAAACACGGTGGTAATGTTACATGCCCATCGTCTCGTTATTCACTCTGTCTTACCGAAGCAGCCTGGTTTATCTTGAGTACTGAACATAAGTGGTATTTTTTTTTTCGCTCTTAACCTTATCGTCTCAGAGTGCACTCTCAGTGCCGCTCAATATGATGTCTTTGGAATCCTGAAAGGTACCAAAATTATTTTAAGTGTCTCTGTGCACCCGGACGCAAAACGGAAGTATGTTTACTCCTAAATGCAGTTGCATTCGCAAAAATATGTGAGGAAAATTGAGCGAGCAAAGCATGACTACTTACACATCGAGACTAGCAGCTGGTGTGCGCTTCACACGATTCGCGCAGCCAAATGCTACCCAACAGCCCGCAATCGTCGTCTCAAAAAGTGATCACAGACGTGTTTAGAAACGCCTTGTTAAATAAAAGGCTCTACACGTAACAATGCTAGCACAAAAACAAAGGCGAAAGCCACGTACGCTGCAATGCACCCATCCAATTTTCGCCTTGAGAAATATAGTGGTGCGTCACCTGCAGCCATTGAAGCCCCTCCGCCACTGCAGTAGATTTAGTATAACCTCCATGGCGGTGGGTTTGGAAAAACATGCCACTCGACCGCCATCTCGGAGGCCATGGTGTGTATTTCTCTGCGCATTGTCTGCCAGCCACGTCCTGTTTCTATGTGCGCGTACATGGTCAACGTTCTCAAAGGGTAGTTTGTTCGGTCATCTCAGCGCGAGTGTAACTGCTTGTACGTATGCCTGATATGACGTATGAGAGCATTTGTTTTCGTTCGGCTGCTAAAGCATTGTAATGAGGTCGGCGAATGCAACTTTCTAGAGTGCTATCTATTATTGTCGTACCCTATATTCACCGGAATAATTTCACAGTGGGTGCCGCTTTCTGCTTTAAACACATCGCAAAATGTTCTTTCAATCCTAGAATACATAAGAACTGTTAAATGGCGTGTGAATGCCGTGTTTTAGAGGCTTGATTTCCACACAAAAAACGAGGCTCTAGGTCATACGCTTGTGCGCTGTTTGTATAGGAGGTGTACAGATAGGGCACTGTAGTTTATTGATTATGCGAGGAGCCTTAGTTCTGTATATACAACGGTGTTACCACTACACAGGAATACTGTGATCACATACACTGTGGCACTTTGGTACTCAAACAATAAAGGGGGTTGTCGTGCGCAGCCGCGTGCTTAGATTTAAGAATGCATTAAAGAACTCAGACGTTCAGAATAAATTAGGAAGCATGCCTTACGTGTAGAGTTGTACAATTTCACTCAAAATATCACCTTTTCCTATATTTTCGGGAGCATTTTTGCGGCACTGTTATTGACCGACAGAAGGTAGCGGCAAATTTATGTTTGAAAAAAAGAAAACATGCTTATTTCATAAAGTAACCAAGCCTTTGTTGTAGCACTTTCATGCATGCAATTCACCGGTGAAAGCTTTCTGCTGCACTCGTAGAAAGTATTTAAATGTGAGTATACGTGGTAAAGGGAATGTAGCACCAAGTGCTGCCAGCCGCTGAGCTTTCCTGACTGGACTTATTGACTGTCCCACATTTCATGGTGAACAGAATGAAGGGAAAATGCGTATGGGTATAAGTGCAAATGGTGCTACTGAACTCATCGCATCGTTATGTTGACTTTGTACGATCTTCATTTTAATTTTTTGTTAGACGCAGAAGACGAAAAAGTAAATAAGTAGTTCAGTAACCTTGAAGCAGTACGTAGTAGGCTCAACACAAAGTAAACAGGTATAAACAACAGATTAAAAGCGTAATGCAGTTCGAAAGCGCGCAGTCACCCAGGCCGAGCATCCCTTAGACAAGCAGAATGCTCTTTAATCGCTGGTAATGTTAAGGTTGCATAAACTTCGTGTCCCGATTCAATAAAAAGGAGCGTAAATATTACTAGCAAACTGCCGTCAGTGCATTTAATTTTCCGAAAATAGGCACAGACCGCGCGTAATTAAGCACCGGTGCGTATATTTCTGTACGCGTCGCTGACCGCCTATCCACACTTCAGTGCAGACGGTGCTGCAGCCTATTGCTTGACGTCCCGCGAATAAGGAGCCTTCATGTGCGCGCTGCCGCCATTTCAGCTGGTCATGAAACTCCCGCGAAAGTCTCATATAGCGACGAAAATGACCACCAGAGGCGCCAGCATAAGCAGGAGAGCATTCAACGGCTGCGTTTGGCAGGGCTGAAGCACGTTTACCGAAGCGTTTTCATGAAAAACGCTTCTTCATATATTTTGCTTTTCAGTGTTTTCACTAAAAAATCGTAGCAAATTTTAGTACTGTCATGATGGCACATGATGAGCATTGTAAAACTGTCGAAGTCCGTGACTGCTGGCAATGTTTGAACTGAGTCTGTCTAGAAAGTGGCGCGTAAATTCCTCAATTCCTGCATAGCACTTTCGGACCTAAAGCGAGCACTGAGGGGTTCTAAATGACTAAAACGGTTACATCTTGTGCTAGGAAGTGTGGCGCAGCTGTGCGCTGGCTGTGCGTGACGTTCGTTTTTGGAATAAATGTAACTTTATTTATTAGGCATCAAGAAGCACTCAATAAATTTCCGCGTGCCAGCAAAGAAATCTCTATGTTAGGGTGAATTGGCATTATTAGCCTTGAAGTACCTTTTGAGAGATAAGAGATATTGTTAGTGAAACATAGCCAACAAATAAAAAGCTCAGAATAGACATCACAAGATAAAGAGGAATGCTCAAGTTGAGTTCTTTCCTTTATTTTTTTGATGTCATAATTTGCTTCCTTGAGTTTAAAGAATAAAAAATGAGATGAAACTATTGTGAGCTGCTAGATATATGCACTACGTGCTATGAGTCACAGCAGGGGGTAACATTTTGAATTTGGTAACTACGCAATGCTTTGCAAGCAAATGTAGGCAAACTTGTTGACATGTTCAGTTTATGCTGAAACTACTGCCATTCGTCAAGAATTGCAAACACTGTCTTGACCACAGGCGCATTTAGTTTATTCAAAGGTGCGTTTTTTAGAATGTGGGGGTAACTTAAAGGATGGAGTGAACGACACAACAAAAATCACTGAAAAAAAGTTGTGCCCCTGGATGCTACCCTCCTTTAGTCTGGCAGTATAAATGACGTCCACCAGTACGGAACTTTTTTTGTTCACACGTGAAAAAAATGCACACGACCCTTAATCAAAAAGTACACAACTTCTGCCTTAGTGCTTCTGTTATACAGGCATCACTAGCCAAAGAAAAGTGGTACCGTCTAGCAGTATGTTCTTAACAATGTTCATAAAAACACTAAACAGGCTATTTTATCCACAGTGCCCGACTTTGTGCCATACTTATTATCGATTTCTTCGTCAGCTGCACCGGGCACGTCTGAATTCGCGACTGTCACATTGAAATCTGGGGAAAGCTCACGCGGCCTTTTCACACGTAGGCCCATCGCTTCACGCGAAGGCTATTTTGGTTTGGAAGAGGTAAGAAGGCCAACCTCCAAAAATCATAGGTACGGCGTCTTCCACCAGTTTATGTCGCTCTCGGAGCTGTGAAGTAATGTCGTTCACTGCCTCGATGTCTGCATGACGATGTCCGCACTTTCTATGTCACTGTTGATGAAATGTTCGTCACACACGCGCGCGTAGTTTAAGTCGAACAAAAATGCGGCAGACCTGTCATGGCATCGCACGTTTCCGCCTATCGCGTTGCTCCGCGTTGGCTGGTTAACAAAACAAAAGCTTTTAGGATAGTGCCCTTGTATCCAGAACAGTTGTGTGTCACGCAGCAGGTCAGGAGAGCGGCCAGCAGAGCAGTAAGCCAAGCCGGATTCCTCATCGCCGTA